TATGAGAACCTATTCATCTTTCAAACTCAATTAGGATGTCAGCCCCCACAGTGAGTCAGTCCTTTTACTTGCTACCCAAAAACGAAAGTTAATCATCATTCTTTCGCTCTGCCTCTTTTCTATTTATGCTTACAACAATACACTGTAATTTTTATTTTGTATGTTATTTCCCATGTTGCGCTCCTCAAGTACAAAGACTATGTTTTCTTCATGACTGTATCTCCAACAGCTAGCCTGAAATAAAGTAGTGACTCAAAAAAAATCTGTTGGACTAAAAATGATGAATGCAATATACATGGCAAAAAAAAGAACTAATTTCCTTAATGTTGAAATTAAAACCTATGATTTCCTCATTATATAAAAATGAGCAGTGGATATGAATATATAGTTCACAAGCAAATAGAAATGTCTTTTAAGCATATGAAAAGATGCTTCAATTCATTCATAATTAAATACATTTTTGAAAGAGTTGCCATTTTTAAACTATCAGACTGGCAAGCACCCAAAGCTGGAGGATACACAGTGTTGCTGAGACTAAGAAAAGAACTATCCCCAGATACCGCTGACGAATGGGTAAAGTAACAGAATTCTTTTTGTAAGCCTATTAGCAACCTCATTGATAAACTGGAAGTATCCATCAAAACTGGAAATGTATATATTCTTTGATCCAGCTGGAGGAAGTAGTTATAGGAATTTGTTCTATAGCTCTATCTGTATATGCACAAAGATATTTCTTCAAGGATACTTGCTGTGGCAGTTTGTAGTATGAAAGGACTCAACCTATATGTTTAAAAGTAGAACACGTGTAAATTGTGGCACTTATAATATTGCATCTACACAACAGGAAAAAAGAATGAAATAAATACATATTAAGATAGGTAATACCATAAGATATTTTAAGTGTAACCTTAAGATACTTGAAGTAAAAAAGCCAGATTAAAAACAGTATAGATCATATAATCCAATTTTTTAAAACAAGCAAAAACAACCAAAAAATAGAGGAGAGGATATACATATTAAATATATTTGTACTAACACTAATATTTCCAGAAGAAAACAGTAGAAACTGATTCATTTTGTCTGAGGAAGGAGACTTGGGGCCCAAGGCCTCTGCTTATGCCTTGGGGTATTTTAATTTTTAACCATTTTCAGTCATTACTTTTCTATTTAAAATGCTCAATGATAAAGAGTATTCCAGCAAACTAAACTGCTGGGAAAATTCATCAGTCTGCCATCTAGTATTTCATCTTCCCAATGAAATGAATGTGCCAATGAAGGAGTGGATCTCTCGCCTCCCATGTCTGTGTTCTCTCCACCACATAAGCTGATCTCAGGCATGTTATACCTAAGCATCCCTTAGATGCATATATCCTAGTTTCATTTTAAATACGGATGGATGTGCTAGTATATATATTTTTCTAGCTACTAAAGTAGTAATTTTGTTGTTGTCGGCAGTTATAAGCATGGACTTCGGTAACCTAGCTCCTGCTCCTCAGACCTATCACACCTGCTCCAGTGAGAGCTGCTTCCAGGAGAGAGAACTGTCAATACCAAGGCTATTTTACACTGATAAGACACATTTCCTAAAACTTCTCTTTCTCTATCTGCAAGAAATTATCAGGCCGACAGAATTTTCTCTTTATCTAATACAAGCAAGTGTTCTGATCAGTCCTCTACACTAATGCAAAGCCTCCCTAAGCCTTTCTAATAAATTTAGGTACCACCTGGGGTAACAAAGCCCCATTAACACTTTTTTGTTTACTCTCTGCTAATTATCTGTCAAGTAAATACTACTTGAAAAGGACATTTTAAATATGCCTTTAATATTCTAATTGTGTTTCCCAACTACTCAATAATTAGTTCCTTCATCTTTTCAGGCACCAAAAATTAATCTGTCTATTTACACAACCATACTTCTCCCTTTGTAAGAAGAGGCATTACCTTTGCCAGTTTATAATCTTCAGGCACTTCTATGTGATAACAACAGGGGATGGAACAGTGCATTTACTAGTCAGAGACCCCTGATACAGTGGCTTCCTTAAAGTTCTGTTTGTATATATCTAAAAACTGAAAATAAAAACATCCCAGGGAGAGAGAAAGTGATAGGCATAAAAATCTACTGGGGGAAACTGGGGTGATAATGGCAGCACCTAATCCCAGTCCTAAATGAGAAGATACAAAGTTAAATTGTCATACTTGGCATTGTTTCCTAGTTGCAAGTCTAGCAAAAGACATGGTAATGGAGAAAATTGAAATTACAATAGTCAAATTCTCTTCACAGAGTAAGGCTTTATTCAGGACTGTGCCATACTTTAAAGGCTCCTCAATGTGGCTTTTGTCAGTTCCTATAAACGCACTGTTCAAAAGCAAGGCCCACTATGTTGATCAGTAATCCTCATATAAGAATTTGTTGATACTATCACCTGAATTCAGCACCAGGAGCATACTTCTACCATTATTATAAAGGCCTCTATCTTTTTCTCAGGTAATGAGGATAGTAGAACACATTGTTTCTTCAATTCCCTTATGCCTAGCAAGAAGTTAAGCATTATATTAGATGTCTGCATTTAACATGATATGATAAAGCATGATGTGCTCCCTCCTCAACTTTGTTTCAGCCTTATATTTGATTTGATTATAATGAAAATATGCCTTCAGAGTAAACAGCAACATGACTATCTCCAGCCCCATTTGAACTAGGTAAGGTAAAAAATATAAACAACTGCTTAGATGTGTTTGATTACATTATTTTTCCCAATTCCCTGTAAGAGCATTTTACATCCCTGCCCATTTCCCTTGACTTGAAGTGCTTCCTGCAGCAGAAGCATACTTCTCCCTCCCTCTGTCAAGCCTGACTTGCTTTGGCCATGATGTCAGAGGAAGTGAAGGGTGCCACATGGAAGCAGAAGTTTCAGCAGTCATCACATAGTTTGCTCTTGCTCTTTTCCCCATGTTCCAGATTGGCTGGTACTATTCTTTCAGCCTCTATCTTAGAATGAAGAGACACACAGAGCAGAGGTACAGATAATCAAAAGACAATGTGTATCATGAGTGGAAAATAAAATTTTATGGTTGAAAGTCATTGATGCATCAAGAGTTCCTTGTTACTTCAACATAATCTAGCAAAAGCTGACTACATCTCAAGTAGTGTATTCAGACACTGAAAACTGCTTAGTCTAGAAGGCTAAGGAGGATGACAAGGATTCTGAAAGGTCTGAATTTCTATCAGTGAGGACAAGATAAAGGAGTTGAGCCCCTGAAGCCTGAAAAATTGATTGTGGGGTGGTCGGTATGAGAAAAGGAATGAAAGGATAGCTACCACCACATATCTAAAAAGTGATCACATGGATGAATAGAAGAAAAAGAAAGCACAAACTTATTCTTTTTGCTTCTAAGGGCAGAACTCAGACCAAAAGCTAGAATCACAGAGAAACAGGTTTTGGTTTACCTTAGGGAAGAGATTTCTACTAATGACATCAGTCTAATAATACAATGAGTAGTCTTCCGAACCACTATGTTTCCAGTGACTGAAGTCATGAAACAGAAGCTATACGGCCACCACATATTAGAGACGTTACAGAAAGACAACCAACTTCATGGGAACTTATACCAATGACCTCTCAGCACCCTTGCAATTCTGATTCTCTAAATTCTAGAGAGGTATTTCTGACACTATGTTCAATCAGCTCTCTTGGAGGAAGAAGAAAAGCTAAGTCTCCTGGCAATAATTAGCTATGGAATAGCTTTTTAGAATGTATCCTTTTTTCTGAGCATCATGAAAATGTATACTTTACTTTTCTTCTCAATTCAGTAACATTTTTTGCTCTTTCTAAAGAAAGTGTGACTCCTGAAAAACATTCTATACATTTTATCCTATTCATCAATTAAATTTCAGAATTATCTTAAAGAACACAGACCATTTCAACAGAGCTAATATAATCAAACTAGGCATTAGGTAAATACTATCTCCATAAATAGAATATAGAGATTTTTATGGAAAACCACTAACATTCCTGATTGGAATAATGAAAGTTAATATAAGAAGACATCTCTATAACTTATTTGTCAAATATATAGACTTATTTGTGAGATTGAAAGGCTAAAAGCATATAAGATGTTGAAATACTGATATTAAAAAAATCCACAGCATCCTCAAACCTGAATATTTAAAATGTCATTTCTTCATGTTTGCCTTCTAAAACATCAATAAAGTTCTTATCTATAATAAGAACAACATTTCCTATAATCTGAACATTTGGCCTGTAAATCTCTTATGTCTAAAAATGCCAGAGTCACTATTCACTCTGCTTGACAGAAGACTGTAAAGACCTATTAAACAACTAAGTAGAAAAATATTGTATAAATGTGAAACTGGTACTATCTTATCTTACATGTACCTCTAACCTACCTAAAGAATTTTTCATCACATTGCCGGGCGCGGTGGCTCAAGCCTGTAATCCCAGCACTTTGGGAGGCCGAGGCAGGTGGATCACGAGGTCAAGAGATCGAGACCATCCTGGTCAACATGGTGAAACCCCGTCTCTA